CAGCTAGCTATATGCTTGCGTGCTTGGCTGCCTGTATAAGTAGGTACGGGCGTGCGTACGTGCGTCCGTCTGTGCGTGCCTGCGTGCGGGCGTAATCATTAGAATGTGTGCGCACGCATGAGCGTGTACAGCGAACTGTGCGATCACAAAGCATATCCACACAAAGCAGCCGTAATTATCTCACACTACGCAAACAGAAATTGCATGAATCAAGCTTGCTTGAAAAAAAATTCAAACGTATGTTACATCAAGCTTACATCAAATATTCGCATTAGTTGCTTCGGAAGTATTGCATCAGTCGTCAATCTGTTGCAATGCACGAGAAGACACGCAGAAGGTTTACAGTGTTTGTTTGATCTCCCGCGGAAGTAGTTAAAGGTACGTGCACACCTGCACAGAGGCGAACCGCAGATAGTGATTACCGTGCGGCATTTAACAGCAAACAGAGTCACGACGTGTGGTCTACGTGAAGAGGTCATCGGATGGTCGCCGGAAATTTACGTAAAACGAACAACAACAGAAATCATGCTCATTTAATTTATTACTGCTTACCTGCACAAACTAAAGTGAATAGATATCACGTTTTGGCAGATTTTTTTCCTACTGTGTGACAATAATCTGTAGCAATTACACGATATGAAATGCTGTTGACGTTTTGCTCGACGGAAATCTGCGCATTATTTTCTCTAACGCTCTCGCAAATCGTCCACACGAAACCGCAAATTTCATGCTGTGGTTATACTCGAGTGCCAGACAAAGCGGCTGGAATTACACACGGAGTCGGAATGCAGCCACAGTCACTTGGAGCGTTTCATTAAAATATAATGCTAAATAAATACGAAATCTATTTACTACCAAAGTCTTAATGTTTCTCTACTCTCTTTCGCCTATTATTGCCGACAATTTCCTGTAAATGCCGTGCAAATGCTCCTCTGCAACACACATGTACACCGCACGCGCGCTGCCGCACACTCACACACACGCACACACGCACGCACACACACACACATACATACATATATATCAGGGGTTAATAATGACAAATTTGTCATTATTAACCCCTGATATATATGTGGCAGTGTGCGGGAGCGTGCGGCAGCATGCGTGCGGTCTACATTTGTGTTGCAGATGAGCATTTGCACGGCATTCACAGGAAATTGTCGGCAATAATACGTGAAAGACAGTAGAGAAACAATAAGAATTTGGTAGTAAATAGACTTCGTATTTATTTAGCATTATGTTTTATTGAAACGCTCCAAGTGCCTGTGAATAACAGACTAGCGTTCAGCTACGGCCCAGGCACTTGGGACAGAGTCAGAAAATAATATGAGCACACATTCACAAATAGGCCCTACTACCGTACCTCTCAATTACAGACTACAGTTCCACTGTTGCGTCACTGTATATCAACTTTCCTTCATAAAAACCTATGTAAAAACTAACGCTGAACGCTCCCGCATATAATAGAGAAGGTAGGAAACCCGTATTTCTATGGCGGGCGCATTCACGTAATGATTTATCATCGGAGCCGGAGCGTTGCAATTATATCAGGAGTGCATGAATAAAGAGGTTTATGAATATATTCACATCTATTCATGCATTTTTGATTATGACCATCAAGAGATCCTTTCATGGTGTACTCCTGGTTATAATCGACCACATAAGCTCACAGCGTCTCCGGAAATAAACCAGCAGCTGATAAAGCAAACAAAACTGCTCAGTGTCGCAATAGAGAAAGATTCGGAGCTGTTGGATAAAAATCGCAACAGGAGTATATATGCATAGACTATTCAGGTGGTCCTGCTATAGTCACAAAGAAAAAAAACGAAAGAAACATGCATGAAGCTTGGCATATCGTTTACTTAAACAACACAAAGCTGATCTGTTGAGAACGGGAATTTCCCGTGACATAAAACCATAAGAGAGATTGAAACTTATTATCTATATTATTACACTCCTGATGATATCACAGCGCACAATGAAGCTAACATGGTATCACAGCGCACAATGAAGCTAACATGGTATCACAGCGCACAATGAAGCTAACATGGTATCACAGCGCACAATGAAGCTAACATGGTATCACAGCGCACAATGAAGCTAACATGAGATGGTAATCACAGGCGCACAGATGAACGCTGAACACGCTGGTTATGGCACAGCGCACAATGAAGCATAACATTGGAGTAACTCAGAGCGCGGACATCGAAGCTTAACATGAATATCACAGCGCACACATGAACGACTAAACATGGTATCAGACAGACGCACAATGAAGCTAACATATATCACAGCGCACAAATGAAGCTAACATGGTATCACAGCGCACTAATGAAGCTAACATGGTATCCAAAGCGCACAAATGAAGGCCTAAACATGATATCACACCCCCTGCGCACAATGAAGGCTAACATGGTAATCAAGCGCATCAATGAGGCAGATGATGGTATCGACC